TAGTTTTTTGATATTTAAATTGATATTGATAAATTTGATATTTTTCATAATTAGAAAAAACCAAACGAGACGAAAAATACGATTTTTTTCAAGTTACGGGACGATTTTATTATTATGTTTTCTGCCATAAATATTAATCGAATAGAAAAATGATAAACGACTTTTTTTTTATTGCATTCTTAATCTAGTCCTTGTGTAAGTTATTCGTTTTTTATATTTTCTTGGTAGTTTTTATAATAATTGACCGAAAACGAAAAATACGTAGAAAGAACAAGAAAATGTACGAAAATAATTATTGTATTAATTAAAATTTTGTTTTTGTAATTTAATTCAGTTAAAAATATCTGTAGACTTGAAATTTTGACAGAAAATGTATATTTGCTTTTTCTAGATGTGGTAAAATGTTCAAAATATTTGAAATATCTGAGCTGTTTGTAAACTTTTTTAATTTTGTGAAGTTTTATGTCATTTTTATTTAGTAGCTGGTACTCTGTGGATAAAATTGTTAAGTACGTTTTAAAATAAAAATACACGAATAGGAATGCTTGAAAATATGATAGGAGGTTCATTATATGTCGTACTTAGTGGTCAAAAAATTTAATTGATTGTAATGTAGTATTTTTATTTATTTTTTTTTTTTTAAAGTTTTAAAATTAAATTTTGATGGAAGTCGTAAATATTAAGTGCCTTTCAAAATATGTATAACTGAGATTTGCTCCGAATCGTTTTTTTTTTTTACCAATGGTTACGGGTAAAAATTAAATAAATGTACATATCTCACATTTCCAACTACCCACCCAGAACAATTTCCGCACCCATTCCCAGTATCAGCTTTTTTATTTCATTATTGATTATGTACACTTCTTAAAACCCCAAACCTTCTATTTACCTCAATGCGCTAAATTCTAGTTACTGTGTAAGTATGATTAAGTTACTAGGCCTTTTTATATATTCTTGTGTGTAACGCATTCATTGCGAAATAATTTTAATGTGTCTAATGTTTTCTATTTTGATTTTAGTCATATTAATTTATTGATTTTTATATTATTTAACCACGTATTTTTATTGGGTCTAATTCATTTCGAATCATCCTATTTAATTTTTATTTTTAGAAAGAGGGAGAAAATCACACCACATAAATTATAATTATAATATTATAATAAAGCTAGCGCTAACTTCAATCAAAATTAAAAACTCATTTATGGGTAAGTTACTTTTCTAAAGTAATAAGATTACAATTAATCATTACCCACCGTTCTAAAATGTAATGATATTACACACTTGTTACTTTAAATTTGTATGAAATTAAATTAATTCTGGAACTGAGATGAAATTTATTATCATTTAAGTTACTTTACTTTTTTTATCGCTCTTTTTTTCAAAAAAAAAATATATATTTCGAATCAATTTATATAGAAAATAAATTTGCCTACCCAATTAAATTAATCTTTATTTTATTCGAATTACAAACTATAAGTGAGTAAAAATTTAAAAAAATATTATAATTTTATACTTACTTGTTGTAATAATCAGTTAAAAGTTGTTAATTCGTAATTTATAAATCAATGGATTGCTATTTTTAATCACGTACTGTATTTCATGTATATTATTTATAAGAAAAAAAAACCTATTAACTTATTTAACTTTTCTTTTAGAGAAGTCATTCTTTGAAATTTGTATTAATATTCGAGATATTAAGGAATTTTGAGGATATTGAGGAATCCTACAGGTTCTTTGGGTTAAAAATATTGAAAGATTAAAAATAAGGTTGTCATTGGAAACTGTTTTTAGTTGTTTTTTGTTATTATTTTAATCCTTTTTTGAACAATCATTGTTGTAATCGTTTTATGATTAATGACAAATATTAATAAAGAAAAGATATAGAGCATATTTAATTATTTTACTATAAATTATATATATATATATATATATATATTGTTGACAAAGCCATACTATCAACTGAACTCCATTCAGAATCGTTTTTTCGTTAGCAATAGTTCATCGTTTTTTTTTTTTTATAGTTAGTTTAAATATTATAAACATTTAGTGATGATATTATTTAAGATGCTTACGATAGAGATGGTAGACTATAAGATGAGAAGTAAAGTTGTAGATTTGAGAGTAAGGGCTTTCAAAAGCCTTTAAATTTAAATAACCTAAGGGCTAAGAAAACATCAGTGTAATACTGTGTAAATTTACAGTGTATTTACACAAGTTGTAGTAACAATAACAGTTATATCATTTAATTAATCTAACCTAATATTTTCGATATTGGTATCGATCGGTAAGCCTTGATACTATTTAAATTAATTTTCTATTCCTACAAATTTTATGAAACGCATTACAGTGTTTACATTACGTATGTATTTTAAAATCGTCAATTTCGTAACTCGATTTCGAGAATACTGTGTTAGATTATGTAAATACCATAAATATACTATCTAAATTGAATTTAAAAAAAAAACTGGTTAAGTATCTATTTCGGGCTATCTTTATAATTGTTTGTTACTGAAAATCAGTAGAAGTTTAATATCCGCTGATGCTTTAAGTTTTGCAATTGTTAATTCAAAATCTATATAAATGTAATTTCAAATGTATTTACTTACAACAGTAGAGCTGCAATCGTTGTGTGCAAAATGATACATTTTAGTGAATACACACATTATCCTTTCACTTAAAATGGATCACCTTGTGTAGCGAATGGAAATAATATTTTAACAAACAAATTTAAAACTTACTAAGTTGTTTTTCGGCACCTGAAGAACTTTTAAGTTTATAATAATTTGTGGAATTTGGTGACGACGATGGTAATCTTTTTTTTTTATTACATCGTTTGTTACGTTCATATCCCTAAACGTATGATATACCATTGCATGTACAGATATAAATCAAATAACATTGTGTACCTTAACTTTCCAGCTTTCCACTTACAACAGTGGCTCACCTACCAGGAAAATCGGTTTTAGTTTAAATTCTGAGTGGAGCGAGAAATGTATTGATTTCACTATGATGTGTTTTTGTGTTTGTGTCTGTAAAAAACTTTTATAACCAGAAATCTTACTCCAATTAAAAAATAACAAGAGGCCTGATTTTTTCCATTTGGGATCTAGTTGGTATATTACTGAGGAGGTATTTTATTTTTATTTTTAGTTTTCATTATACTTGATGTGTTACATTTTCATTCAGTATGTGCAATATGCATTATGCATCTCTAATAATCCAGCTAATATTGTAGTTCTCCACTTATATTTGTCGGTTTAATATAAAAATGATATGCTTTTATTTGATAGAGAACTACGGTAAAGACCGGGTGCAGTAATAATATTTGAGAGTGTCCGGATCAAAAATCCGTAATGATACCTATCTATTTTGTAAATAAAAACCAAATAATACTAACCAAAAAAAAAAAAAACAATATGTACTAAATATAGGTATATGTATATTTTAGTGGTAATATATTTTTTATAAACAATTGTGGATAAAGTTATATGAATAATTATATAGGTACTTATATGATAAGCCATATTATATTATTGTTACTTATTATTCTTTTATTTTTTGAAAACAATAATATAATATTATTTGTTATTACATTTCTTAAATTTATATTAATTAGGTAAATAATATATTATACATGCATATATTTATATATGTATTCATACTCTTTGAAAATAATTTAAAATAAAACAAAAATGTTTAGCATAGTACGTAAATAAATTGTATTATTATTATTCTTAAAATCGTATAATTATTACAATACCGCTGACTAAGACTGATCAAACTTCTATCTTAGTCTGTGGTTTATACATATAGATATGTATTTAATAATAATACCGAAAAATATATTATTATATTTTTATTATACAGTTCAATATTTGAAAACAGTAGTTCTGTATAAAAATATAATATAATATAAAGTATGTTATATTCGTTTGTAAATATAATACACATTAATATAACACTATATTTATATGCGCTTAAAAATACATCTAAATTTTGATAACATCAAACTTTAAACAAATCACATTACGATAATAATACTTATAATATAGTTACCTAGATAATAATAATAATAATACAAACACAAATACAAATAATATTGAAAAATACAAATTATATTCTTGAGCACAACTACAAAAATGTTAATGTAATAATAATAATAATGATTACAAACAAGTATAATAATTAATATAATAATAATAATAATAATAATAATAATAATAATAAATGATAAAATTTTGGATACCACGAGCGTTTATGTCGGCGAGACCGCGCGGTCGGGCGTTATATTAATATTATTTAGTACAGTCACATTTAACCAAAAAAAAAAACTAATGAAAAAGCTAATAATTTGAGATCGCGTGTCCTGCAGATGCACGCGAAACGATAATAATATTATTGTTGTAAACGTTCGGCCGAAGGAACATGTTCGTGTATATAATATCATAATATAAGTAAATAATAAAATACAAAAAAAAATAATAATAATAATAATAATTATATAACTTGGACGGAAAATATTTTACAGACATGATGATTAATTAATATATCCCTAAGCATTATATAATACCTATATCAATATGGCAACTCGCTATGTACTGTCAAATTAAAAAAAAAAAAAAGCCGAATAGCTATACCTAAGTATTATAATACTAAACGAAGCTAAAAGAGTATACAATATTAATTCATTAATTTCGCGGGGAAAAAAAAGGTATAGGTAAACCATAAAATTAAAAGTTTATTAGCGATTAATTTTTCTTAAAAAAACAAAAATACCCTACTTATCTATTTATATATATAATACTATGCTTCCCTTTCTTTGCAAAATTTTAAAACAATGTTATATTGTTGTAACTAATATTATTATTGCCTCGTCGTCGGCATTTATGTTCAACGATTTGGGTTGATTTAAAAAAATAAAATATAAATACCGTTTTACGAGCAGCCTAGGGGCTAGGGATAAGGGGGAAAATTACTACAACAGAGATTAAGGACAAATTTTAAATTCCCGACGCTATGGTGTTTTCTGCCCATGGCACCGAGTCTACGATGGCGTTGTAGAGCGACGGTTTAGACGACCGGCCATAACCGCCCCGGTAACTGAGCATGCCTTGTAGTTGCCAAAGTCCATTCTCCGCCAGACACATTAATGGCGATCCGATTTCCATCTGAAAACACGAAAACAAAATATAATTCACATCTATGTAGTTGAATACGGGAGATTATGACAAAATAGATTGGTAAATTATGTCAACAACTTACTGATACACGCAGTGTTCGCTGACCTCTCCAAACCCCCCCCCCCGCCCATAAGCTCATTATATAATTATATTTGTAAGCATTATATGGATATTACAGATGTAATGGTGTGATGTGTAATGAGTAATCTTTACTACGAATGAAATGAGATGAATCACGACTAAAGTTGGGAAGGGTGGAAACTTGAAAGGGCTAGCCCGATTAAAACTCATATAGTTACCGATGTAGGTAGGTCCTGTATATTTTATTATTTAGTAGATGATTTGAGTATTTATAGATGACGGGCGGGAAAAAACGAAACAATAACGATGTAAACAATACGCCGTGTTTATTGGTCTTATCATATCGACGTTATTTTATTAAAAGGGCGTATGCCACTAAAACACTTTTTTTCAGGAAGCAAAAAAAAATTTTTGCAAAGAAAAACAGTTTTTAATGACATTTAACATGGAAGACAATAAAATTACTCGTATATATTATATACATTGTACACAAAGTATACATGCATTGAATGTATACTTTATGTGAACGTATACCACATACATCCTTTTAACAAATTAGTGGTAATTTAATAATATTTTAAAAGGACTCCTAGATATCTTTTAGATAACAGCATTATCAACTTAATTTTTTGTATTTAAATACGCCCCTTTACCAGTATATGCTCTAAATTTTTCTCATTTTGTTGACACCAAAAACGTATTTTTTGATTTTTAGTAGTATACGTCCTTTAACAAAATACCATTGATATTTTTATGACAATTAAGGTGTTTAGAAAAACGATCGCAGTTCCTCCAGTGGATTTTAATGATATTATTGTTCCACTTTATCATTGCGCACGTTCAAATTGGTTTTTTTTTTAAAAAAATTGTTAATACAGAATGAATAGAAATCATCCCTCAATAAATTGTGTTGCATACAGTAAAATATTTTGTAAACATTTATTATTATAATGAATATTTAAAGAAAATACTAACAAATATTTTAAAATGCATTCCATTACCCATGAGGTACACGTCTAAATACAGCCCCAACCGTTCTATTAAATGTGTATTTGGTATTGCGTGGTGGAAACTATGGTCATTATAATAATATTATGCTCTATAGCGTTTGGACGCAAGGTCATTATGAATACCGCGATTATAGAAACGATAAGTAAAAAAAAAAAAAGTAGTTGATATTATAATATCAATTCGTGAAACTTACTACTACGACTGGTAAGTTAATACATATTATTAACTAAGTTCAGTTAGTTTAATTGAAAACAAATTAACCAGATAATACGTTAACACTGTTAACTTGAAAATTAAATTGACTATTTTCTTGTAGGTTTTTATTTTAAGTCGTTAATGTTGTGTGTAGAATATTTAATTTGAAGATTTCATTTTGATTGATACTTTTGAAAATAACGACAAACAATAATTACACGTAGGGTTTATACCAGGAATATGAAAACATTTATTTTAAGCGCGTATTTCCATACACCTTATTGAGTAGTTAAAATATATAAAACAAATTATTGTTGATGTCATAATTGTACCCATTCAAGTTAGTTAATAAATTGTGAATTTATTATAAATTATGTTAAAATTAAAAAAAAAAAAATGTAGGTAACTAACTTAACATGACATAATTACAAATTAACTCGTTTAATTATTAAGTTAATGAAAAATAAATAAGTTTGGTTAATAAAATTAAAAGGTTAAAAGCTAAATTAAAAGTTAATATTGACATGACTTTTATGACCAATTAAACTCATTGTAATAGTCAGCATTGTTTAAAATTATGACGTATATAGATTATAATAATAATATAGGTATAGGTATACTAATAATGTATAGGTACTCATAGACGTACATAGTCTCGGATTTCAGGTGTGACTTTTATTTTTTTTTTTTGTCCACCGATACCCTCACATAATCCCCCTCCCACCAAAATATTATAAATATAAAATATGGATAAGTAGAAAAAAAATGTATTATGAAAACTAATTATACAGTACAATATAACTATTATTTAATGTAATTAATCTTCATTCTTTTGCTATTAAAATATTCAAGTACAAGAATACTTTAAACAAAGAAGTTGGTATATAACTAATAACTATATACATGTTTATACATGATTAATTGTCAAAAATTCAACAACAAAAATATAAAACAGATAATATAATAAAAACTATAGAGCCGCAACTGATAATAATATTATTATTATGATTATTATTACTCTATATTCTATGACCATAATCACGATGTAGAGAAGATACATCGTGACCATAATTGACTGACTAATTTATATGATGAATTTGATATAAAAATGTATAGTTTTCCAAAAAATTGAGTTATTGACTTTTTTTACCTAAGTATCTAGGTACCAAGCAAAAAAAAGTCTCGGGTGCACTCGTACGCACGCCTATGATTAAATTATACGTAGTGTATTTTTGTGCAATAGTTTCCAGATATTGGATATATATATATTTCAGTTATTAATAACTATTCGTTTTTGATTAACACAAATAAAAAAAATGAAAATCGAATTTTAGTTGGATACAAATTTACCTCACCATCCTTGAAAAAATAAAAATGCATTTATTTTAAACCATGCACCATATAGTTACGACGTACATTTGCCAAATTAAACAACACTCTAAAAATGTTTCTATATTAAAAAAGTTCTCTAGATATTTTCAGAAAAAAAAAAATTTAATTAATGTCTTTAGGAGCGAGTATTAATATATTTCAATTCATTAAAAAATAAAAACGAACAAATTATTGTACAATAATAGAGGCTCGCTTCTGTGCAGTCTAGTTAGTTTAAAAAAGAGGGAGAAAAAATAAAAGTCTTGTTGGATTAGCATAATGATTAAATATAGATAAAAATTGGAGACGGTTTTTAATTTAATCGTCTTTTATTCATTTTTTATTTATTATTATTATTTTTTTTTTTTGTTAGAACGGACACATTAGATTAATATTTTTGTTGTAAGATATTATCTGATGATGATGAATTCGATATTTACATTAGATTAAGATTATGAGTGACGTGAGATATTTTTTTATACTGTGTACAAAATGTCTACTAGAAATCTTACTCCAATTTTTAAATGTAGCACTTTTCCTGAAAATAAATTGTATCTATTTGGTACTTTTCATTTTTAAATTTTTTGATTTTCTAAACGGTTTTCACAATGTTTGGGAAAAATCAAGGGAAACGGAAAAATTTAAAAAAAAATGCTCTTATTATTTTCAATTTCGTTTTTTTTTTGTTGCAATCTAGTTAAAAATGTTTGTAGAAACTTTAAATTTAGACAGAAAACTTATATTTACCGTTTACAGACGTGGTAAAACTATTAAGATTAGGTTAGGTTTGGGTAACATTTGGGCCATTTTTCATTTATTTATAGACATTTTAATTTTGCAAGGTTTTTACATAATTTTTATTCGGTAAGTAATTTATGAATAAAATTATTAGACCAAACAAAAATGCTTGAAAATTTAACAGCTGGTTCATTATAAATTATATTTAGTGGTCAACAAGGAAAAGTTGAGATTAATGTATTATATGTTTTTATAACGTGAATTTTAATATAGAATTTTGACGAAAATCGTTAACATAACAACTTTTTAAAACACGTAATACCGAACTCCGCTCAGAATCGTTTTTCGTTAGCAGTGATTAATCGTTGCATACAGATATACATTAAATTCTTCTCCATATTTTAGCTTTCCAACTTCTCACCTATTACAGTGGTCCACCCATCGTGCAAAGTATGTCCTTTTTTTTTCAAAGAATTTATAATTATAACATCTTAAATGTATTTTAATTTAAAGTTCAATATTTTATATTAATCAATTTAATTAACTTACTGAATTATTACACTACTCCTGAGTCATAACCTTAATTAATGGTCACACACTTTATTTCAAAGTTATTAAATTACTCAGGTAAAAAATTAAAATTTGTTCTTAAACATAAATCAAACTAGATAAATATTAGAAAAACATAAACTACAAGAGTAACATAAATTTGAGGTAATATATCTTTATTGTATCTATTTCTATAGAATCTATCTGATTCCCAATTAAATAAACTGTTTTTATTACATTAATACCATATATAGAATAAACATAGATACTTACATTATTAGCTTCTATTTCTCCCGAAGCAACGCAAATTTCTTGTTCTGTCAAATAACCATTAAAATTGTTTGTTGAGTTACACAAATCTTTTTGCATTAATGGATCCGACAAATAGCGTGAGAATTGCTTGAAAACTAAAAAAAATTAAGTTTATAAATTAACATTATTGTTAGAATATAAGGCAATTGAAACATGTTTGAATATCCATTTCACAATATTATAATTTTTAACTTGAAAATTATAAATTTTAAACATACCTCCCGGGGACTCGTAAGACCAACTTGTAGTGACACATGGTTGTTTATCATCGACATCTTTTTCAGGTAGACAAATGGTGTTTACTTCATCTGATAAATTAAATGATGAGCTAAGTTCGACCAATACAGTGTCATTGAAATAACGTAATTTTTCATATTTTACTCCGGGGTGGCTAATAAACCTTGATACCAATATTCTTGTTAAGTTTGATTCATTGGCTACACGAGATTTACTTGAAACTGCTTCCCACTGATCAGACGATAGAGATTCGTCACTAAATCAATAATCATAACAATTTTAATAAGAATAATTATTGATTAAGTGTAATGTTTTATAAAAATAAGCACTTACATTCCATGTACACAACTATAAGATGATAATAGCCAATTACGTTTCACAAGACTAGATGTACACGACTTGTGGGTTTTTGTGTTTTGGAGGTAGACAACGGATGGCCACATTTCCATTGAAAACGGGTCTTTACCACCAAAATCACCACAAACTATAAAATAAAATAAAAACATACACATATCTATGCCAGAATTTATATATTACAGTTAACTGAATCTTACAATGTTTAGAAGAGCATTTTATTTCTAAAGTTTCACAAGGAGTTTTGGTCGATTCAAAAAACCCAGTCAGACTCTTTGAGTTATTTAAATTTGAATCATCTTTTAACTTAAGATAACTTGTAGAGTTATCATTCGGTTCACTTGATTTGAAACTGGTCATCTTCACTTCGGTAAATCCGAGGCTTTGACACACAAAGTTGCTCCACTCATCGGACCAATTGGTGTTACATACTTTCATGGCAGTTTCACCTTCTTTTCTGTAAACATAAATATATATTATAAATAATAAGACTCAATAATAAAAGTCATGCCAATCACATACTTTGCAAGAAATTGAGTGCCATCCAATTGAATACATTTCCATTCATCACTTCTGTCTGTACACTGAGCTACATTGTCACAGACTTGTGTTTGTGGAATACATTCTGACCCCGTATTACATTTAAACTCATTGGCATTACATTCTAAAAATAAATCATAAAATATATTAAATATATTTAGTCTTTTTTTCTAATCAAATTTGGTCATATTTACACATTCTATAATTTTAAATTAATATGTCTAATAGTTGAAATCAGAAACTCCACCATTTTTCAAATTTTATATGATTATACACCATTTAATAATATAGCTTTATTTAATATAGTCAGTATTTCAAATTATATAATTCACATTATTAATACATTGATGATATATTATGATTAACCTGTAAGTCTACATACCACAGTTTTGTTCGTCCTCACCACCGGGGCAATCATTCACATTGTTGCAGCGTAAAGTACTCGAAATACAGTAACCATTGGGACATTGATAATCATTACAAGTATCTAAAAAAATAAAAGGTTTAAAATAAATCTGATTTATTATTTTACTCAGGCAGTTTAATGTATTACTATTGCATTGAAGTTCATCTGAATGATCATTACAGTCAGATTTCCCATCGCAAAAATAGGAATCTGGTAAACATTGTCCACCAGCACACTGTTTCTCACCATTGCCGCACTTCCATACATCTAATACATGAATAAAAAAACCACTAAGTTAGACACCTATATAATTAAATAAATATGAATATTAAATCTTAGAAGTTATTATATACAAACCACAAGATTGTTCATCACTACCATCTGCACAATCAATTATATTATTGCAGACCAAATTCCTTTGTAAACATTCTCCGCTTTTACACTGTAAACAAATCAATTGGTTAATTTTAGCACAAAATTATGAATACAATATATTATTACTTGGAAATTTCCAGAACATTCGTTTTCAGAACAGTCAGATTCATCAGAGTTATCACTGCAATCTTTATTTGTATCACATCTTGAAGAAATTTGTATACAATATGAACCATCTTTAGTCGTACCATTTACACATTGGAACTGTTTTTCTTCACATTTACTTAAATATGATAAGTCTTGCATTTCATCTGTTAAATCGGATTTGTTAGTTTTTTTATTCTCTTTTTCCTTTTCTATTTTTGTTTTATTTCTTTTTGTGAATCCACCATCAGATAGATAAAAGTCAGGATTCTTGTTAGTTTTCTTTTCTTTTTTTTTTATCTGATAAAGATCCAAAGCACTGCTCTTCTCATTTTCATTTACATCATCTGCAATGTTTTGTTTGCTAACCTGAGTAATAATTTGATCTAACAGATCTTTTTCGTTGGCTGAAATATTTTCATTAAAATTATCATAATTGCTTGTTGTAGATGTACTTATAATATCAGAATGAGGTAAATTAGTTATTTGTTCTTCCATTGATGTTAATGATTGTAACTTTTTAGAAGGATCGGGCATGTTACTCTTTTCTAAAGATGACAGATCATCTGAATGATTTGTGTCTGATGAATTTAAATCTACTGAACTAGGCAGTTCTTTGGTTGATTCTTGTTCTATATTTGGCTGCATAATAGTAGTCGATTCAACTAATTCTATGATGGGTTCTTTCGAAATATTTTCAAAGTCTTTGGAAGTAAAACTCATGTCTTCATTGCTAGTTGAACTTTCACTGGTCGATGAAGCATTTTCAATACTTGAAATATCTTTTAATTCTTCTGAAGTAGACTTTTCTGGCCATTCTGTTGCTGTTTCAGATGAGTTCATATTATGGGCGTCTGAGATTAAATCGGTTGATTTATTTTCGGATTTTAATTCGATTTGTTCAATACCTGAGGAAGTATAAGATTCTGTTTTCATTTCCTCTTCCATATCACTATTATTGTTATAATTCTCTTCTAAATCACTAGGTAATTTAGGCAAACTTCGAACACTAGATAATGTAGTAGTCAACCAATTTTCAGTTATTGTTGGTAATGTAGTGTATTCTTCAGAATTATTTGTAACCATATCTACCAATGAAAAATCATTAATTTCTTTTGATTTAGTACTTTCTTCAGACACCATCTCAGTTTTAGTTTCAAATTCAGACTCTGTTGCATAAGTTACTTCAGGTTTTATTTCATGACTAAAAACTTCATCAGAATGTGATTTTGCTTCTCTATCAGATTGGTCCTTATTTAAAACTGACTTGTCAGTTGAAGAAGGTAATTTAACATTTTGTTCTTCAGAGTCAGAACTAATATCGACATCTGACAAAGATTCATAACTTTCTGTTGAACTTGGTACAGGATTCAGGTTTACATTAGACTCAGATTCAAATTTAGGACTAGGTTCAGGCTGAGATTTTAACTCAGATTCCACACTAGATTCAGAATCTAGTTTTAATTCATGTTCAGAACTAGTTTCAATTTCTGATTTAGTTTCAGGTGTTAAACGAACATCTGTCTCTGTTTTATTTTCGGGCTCTGGGCTGGATTCTGGTTCTATTTTACTTTCATATACTAAACTAAGGTCTGGTATTATATTACTTGCAGGTTCTGGCTCGACCATAGATTCGCGTACAGAACTAGATTCTGGTTCTGATGTTACTTCAGGTTCTGGTTTAGGTTCGGTTATTGCCTTTACCTCAAAATTTGAATTAGATTTAGCTTCAGGTTCTGGACTAGGTTCTGGTTCTGGTGTTACTTCTGGTTTAGGTTCAAGTAATGGCTTATCCTCAAGCTCCGAATTAGGTTTGGCTTCAGGTTCTGAAGTAGGTTCAGGCACTATTTTGTCTTCTAGCGCTGAATCATGTTCAGATCCTGTTTTTATTTGAAACACTGAACTAGGCTCTGGTTCACTTTTAGCTTCTGGCTCTGAACTAGGCTCTGGTTCACTTTTGGATTCTGGTTCTGAACTAAGCTCTGGTACAACTTTGGTTTCTGGTTCTGAACTAGGCTCTGGCTCAACTTTGGCTTCTGGTTCTGAACTGGGCTCTGGTTCAACTTTGGCTTCTGGTTCTGAACTAGGCTCTGGTGCAACTTTTGCTTCTGGTTCTGAACTGGGCTCTGGTTCAACTTTGGCTTCTGGTTCTGAACTGGGTTCTGGTTCAACTTTTGATTCTGGTTCTGAACTAGGTTCTGGTTCAACTTTGGCTTCTGGTTCTGAACTAGGCTCTGGTTCAACTTTGGTTTCTGGTTCTGAACTCGGCTCAGGTTCAACTTTAGCTTCTGGTTCTGAATTAGGTACAGACTCTGTCTGAACTTCAAGTTCTGGATTATCATCAAACACAGATTTTACTTTTGGTTCTGATTCTGGTTTATGTTCATTATTATTAGAGAACGCGAAATCATCTACTTCGTCATTATTATTGCCTAAAAGTAAATTCAAATAAATTAACAAGTTTAAACACTAGATTTTAAAATAAATGAATTTACTAATTCTTCGCTGGCAGTCTTTCATATTTTGACTTAAAATTAATTCTGACGGACACGAACATACAAAATCTAAACTTGTGTAATCATAAGAACAGTAATGAGAACAATTTCCGTTATTGGTTTTGCATTTATCCACAACAGCTGTAATTTCAAATGGGTATCATAATTTTATTTACACATATATACCAAATAATCTAGTAATACTTACGGTCTGAACGCAATCTATGGATAGGAATTCTATAATTGTACACAAATCCATTATTTTTTCGTATGTAAGTATCCAATCGAGATATTAGAGTGTCTACGTCAATAAGATCCTGCGGTTCATTACCATCTTTATATTCCCAACCTATTCTATATTTAGATACTACACTACCAGAACTGCAAAATAAAACAATTGAAAATTACTAATTATGTATTAAAACATAATTATTGGTAAAGTAATACTCACGCAAATTCAACGACTTTAACATGTATTGCGTCCGAAGAATACCTTGAACGACCGTTCAATGTCTGTTCTTCGAATAGAGCCTTTTTAAGCTATAAAAAAAAAATTTAAAAAAATAAATAGCATGATATAAAATGGTTAACATTTTTGGTCAGAACTTAATTGGATTGAATTTTACCTCGCTCTCAATCGAACGAGCTAGTGATTGAAATTCCGATGAAGATTTATCTGCCATGCCGGGTGTGAATTGTAAATTGTCGATAACAACTTCCCCTTGCACAGTTCTAGGTACGTAAACTTCGGACATGTCGGTTGTCGGTAGGCCGAAAGGACTCGAATTGTCTACGCTAGGTGGTGGGCTGACCGAGGAGTATTGTACGATATTGAGATTACCGCCGAAACCGGCGACTTTTTCGTTTTCGAAATTCCGACTCTCAACTGCTGTCTCGTTATTAAATATAACACCAGCTAAAAATATCACTCGTGATTAACAATAATGTTTGATTTAACATTAACGACATGTAGATACTTACTGGATGCTAATATAGCAATAACGACCGCGGCCGCTAATAATACTAATCCAAATACCCAACATATAAACGGTTTCTTAGATTGGTTAACATCCCGTTTATCTTTGGTTACGTACAGTTTTTCTCCACCCCTACAATATTAATCATACAATTGCAGAAAAAATCAATAAATTGAATTACGTATATTTATATAGTAAAATTGTTAATCGAATCGAAATAATATATCAACCTAATGTATTTTTTGTGTTCGTTCACTGGGATAAAATAGTCGTCGTACGTATCGTTCATATTGACGGTGGTTTCTTTTTTTTTCGTGGGAACCCCGTTTTCCTTGCCGTTAGCGAACGGTTTCATATTGATTAATTCTAAGTTCACAGCTTCGGCCATTTTGTCCTTTTCGTGTCTACCGTTTTCTTGATTAACGGTGCCATTATGTCCGTTAGTCAAAGATTTTGGTACATCAGTTTTATCAGTCTCAAAGCTCGGGTTATCAATACCCGTGCGAGGCGTTTCCATTTCTACAGAATACAAAAAATAAAATAAAAAATAGATCGATTTATGGCGTTTGCATAGCGCACTTTTAATAAGTATACCTATTATACCATTTTGACAAATATTATTAATTTAAGATAGTTTAGTAATGTGTATAGATAGGTGTTCGGCGTTTTGTACTAAACAGTGCTATCCTACTGTGCTGACCGTAGCGGTATATATTTAAATTTAATAATTAGGTACCTATTGTTTTTGTGGATTTTTAATTTTATATAATTTATTATTATACTTCGTAATATTTTATTACGAAAATATTATAAATATTATAAACATATAATGTAATAAATATAATTTATATCGTATGTTACAAAAAATAAATACTGTCGGTATACTTTAACGACTCGAATATTTTCAATAAAATGTATAGATTATAATTTTTTAGTACCGTTTACTATTTCATTGATAAAACTTTATTGATTGTTATAAAATTAACTTTTCAAAATGTTCAAAAACTCGGTATAGGTAAATCGTAAAAAAAAAAAAAAAAATCCTCCGCCAAATGAGGAAAATTTATATTAACGCCATAATATTGTATGCAGGTATATAAATAAATATAAAAGATAATGAATGTGCAGTGTGCATATATGTTTGTGGTTTATACTGTTTATAGACTCAAACAACTACCTAATCGATTTCCTTGAAAATTTCAAAGTTTTGTTCTTATTAGTTCCAAAGGTGTTTAGAAAGTGGTTTGAATGGAAAATCTAACCCCTAAAATAGGACACAAAGAAAATTGCACTTTTCCTGTTTAATTCTGTTAACCATTGGTTAAACGAGGAAAGAACTAATTTTATTTTTTTTGTCATTCAATGCACGGTCAAAGCCGGGTAGGTAATACAACCAACTGTGTAATATCGATTTCACAACCAATTCGCGTATAATATAAAATGTTTTTAACGAAATATAGTGTATACTCTATATACTTAATATCATGAAAAATTACTTTTGGAAAAGTCGGGCACGTCTATAATTAGTTTAGTGTCACCGGCGGACGATTCGGTGTTGGAATTGTCCAATCCACTGTCGCTAAAAGACGAGGATGGTGGCGACACTCGCTGGTTGGAAGGCACTACTGTCCTGTCACCATTATATACGGTAGTCACAGACTCTTCTACTCGTTCTTGTGTAGAGCCACCACTGCCACCACTGCACGTCGACATGTTAACGTTGTCGTTCAACCGCTCTTCAGACTTCTGTAGGTACGATAATTACCATGTCGTACCTGCAAAAAAAAAATAAATATAACATTAACCCAAGGTTAATTAAATATTGGCTTCTTTTTCGTGATTATATTATTATTATTTTTATTATTAATATACAATGTATATGATTTACACGATAGATGAGACGTCCTTCGTGGCGAGAAAATCAATTAGTGGGACGTCATTGTATAGGAAGTGACCGGAGGAAAATTAATATTACTACTACTAATATTATTGTCATCAGCCATATAGCTTTAGACGGTTGGAAAATATGCAGTTGTATAAAAAGTAAAACTTTTCTCATAGTTCATAATATAAAATTGTATAATTAAAAATAATTACCGACACACAACAGAAACAGTGAAAAGTTCGTTCAAATAATAATACCTACATAAATTTACGATTGGTAGAAAGAAGAGAATGCTCGTATATGTATACCGAAACGTTAAAAAAAGACATGCAATTAATTTTGCCTTTGGTCAAAAATAGGTAGGTCAAATGGTTTTTTTTTTTTTAAAGAAATCCACTACTCGGGGTTTGTCTCTAAAAAATATCTAAAACTCATTCATATAGCAGTGTTTGAAAAAAACGTATTGAAATTTCGTTCATTTACTGGACAAACATGAATGTTATTTTTGTTTCTTTTTTCTTAGATGTGTCTACCTTATAATTAAAATAATTTGAATAACCCTAAACTCCCAATTGCCCTGTGTAAATGAAATATTTTGCGAGTTTTGCGTTTGTAGAGTTGATGACATATTAAAATTGAAGAACAAGAAATGTTCCTTTGTTAGTAACGAGACCCTTTTTCAATCCTGGAGATAGCCTGAAGTTAGTTCTATTTAACAGGATGAACGTGTACGTGAACTAATTCATTCTATTTGGAAATATAATTGTTTTAACGGTATTATAAGTGAACCCACCCATTTCGTTTAAAAAAAACTCATACGCATAGAGATAAAAATCGAATTCATGAAATTCGCGGAGCCGAGAAATTTACATTTAGGAAACACTCAAATAATATTATGTGTCGAAAGCAAATTATTCTAATAACAATATAATATTTGATTACAATAAGGAAAGTCATTATAAATCCGGTCGATAATTTACGCATAATATTATTATATTATAATAACAATATACTCAATAATAACGCGCAGGTATAATCTAAAGAACATGTACAATAGGATAAAATATATTGTCCTTGACAAACTAATATAAGTAATATTTTATTTTTACCATTTGAACATAATATCATGATAATAAAATTGGTTTCAACAATTTTTTTTTCTAACTAAGAACACATTGTTTATGGATGTATGTATATTAACTTTTTATTATTAAAATATAAATAATGTGGGTGATTTCTCTACGGATTCGATTACTATTTCGATTTTACCTTAATTATCAAAAAATATATTAAAACAAAAAAATTCATCGTCCGGTTTGACTGAAATTAAAAAACGCATTAATCTAGATGTATTACAGTGAATTCTGGGTAAAAATAAGTCAGTCAACATCTTGTAAGCAAAATGAAATATCTGGGAAGAAAAAAATAATTTTTGTTTTTTTTCCCCATTTAGTTTTGCGGATGACGTTTAATTTTCTTATTTAAAAAATCGTCTAAAAGACTTACTAATAGTAACTGCTCAATAGATCTATAAGTTTGATCAAGATGAAATGATTTGTTTATCCCATAGTTACGTAATAAGAAAATAAAATATTTACAATCTGTAAAACCTAGTTCGATTAAAAATATCAATACTTTATATAAACCTATTTGAAAATTACAATTTAATTAACATTTTTATTAAAAAAATTAATCATAATATTGTTTAAGTTTAAAAGTATATATATATATATAAATAATGTGTATACTTATTATAACCTAACCTAACGTTTTAGTCTGGGAACAAAACAACTTCGTTTCACTGAACACGACTCGAGCAATCATCAGCAATGATGTTTTGTATCTATATAAGATATTGTTATTAGAAATTTGAAAGCGATATTCTATAAATAATACTTAATAAGTACTTCACATTCGAAAAACGATTGTAAGTGAGCCACGTTATACTTCGTGTATAAAGTTTGTTGAAAAAATACCATAAATTATTATACATTCAGTTTTAAGTGATATTTTTAAACAAAAAAAAAAAAAACCATTAAACAAATAGACACGAATAATATTAATAAATACAAAATATAATAGCTGGTATATTATAAAGTAACCTAAATGTTTTATCAAAGTGAAAAAATAAATTTTATGTTATAAACACGTTTTAAACGAATGCCTAGTTATAATTAAATAACAACACGTTTGAAATATTTATGATATTAGACTTGTTTCAATTATTTAGTATACTAGCTCTTTTTGAAGGTTCCAATTCCCCCCCCCCACCTACCTCCCCAAAAAACACATTTGTAAAATTAATGTAAAACGATTTATAATACAGTGGTGTAGGTATAATGGGAGATTATAGGAGGGAATAATCGAAGTAGTCACAAATACTGGATATCTGGCAGCAAAAGTTTGTTGGTCGTTCAAAACAAATATGGATGGACGGTCGATAAAATCAAGAAAGATACGAGTTTATTAAAATAATAAAAGGCATCCGCTATTAGGAACAGACAGAGAGAAACGAAGGACCTGTATCAGTGGTGGGTGGGCCTATTGGGAAATTACGGTGGGCCTCTCTGTTCGTTGATTATAGCAATCAATTTCAATTAAACGCAAACGTTTTAAAGAGCGACTTTTCGTATTTATGCAATATAGTAGAATAATATATTATTGTATTATTAAAAATACTTGCGATGTGATGAATTTATCGTAATTTGTATAGTTGTAGTAAATCTATTCTACATAGATAGAAATTAGAATATCGCATAGAATAATATTAAAGAGAGCACTATAATCGAATGATATGAAGTCTAGTTTACTGTGTATATTATAATACGTAGATATACATTTAAGTCTTAGATGGCTATGAAACGTTCGAACCTGTATAGGTAGAAAGCTGTCCGTCCGTAGTTCGATAAATTATATCGAACGTTTGGGGTCGCTATATATTCGATAGTTGTGCGAGTGTACGGTCATTATATAGTAGACTTTTCATTCACGATTTTTTAAACAGACTACATATAATATAGTATCTACTTTTCATACACCAATGAACCACGATTCTAATAGTATATAATAATAATAATTTAAAAGCAATATCTCGTCCGCATAATCGAGATGTATCGCTATGTTTTGTTTTTTTTTTTTAAATATTTTCGATATAAAACTGCTATTATATTATAATACAAAAATAACTCCGAAAATATTATCCTCTATATTTATTTTTTAAAGGTGTTTAATCAAAAAAGTTATTTGCAAGTGTATTTTATCCTGTTTTGAGTAAACGTAAACGTACGTTTTTGAACCAATTTCACGATCACACAATATAGTTTTGATAATTATTTACCTACTTGTAAATTGAATTTAAAGTGAATTTTCTTCGAACATATTAATACAATTTTCTATACGCGACAACTTACATACCCATCAGGCGTGCTCATTAACATAAACTATTTAGTAGACTACGCATTAAACAAAAATTAGTCAGACACCGTCAGCTAATCAGCAAAACGAGGTAATCTGGGATTAAATAATGGAAATATTTGGCAGGTTTTTCCCACGAAAGCATTGATTTATCACGAATATAACCATCGTAGACAAATATAGTATGTTATTTCTTTGTAAATACTCGTTTCTGTTTATCGGATGTCGTCTGATATTTTCGTTGATTCAATGGCGTAGAAAAATCCGCTAGTTCATAGGTTTCTGATTTAACGTATTTTCATGCTGCATAATAATATGGTCTCGTGGCGGTAATTTTTTGAATTGCAAACTAGGTCGAAACTATAGGTGGGTGTATTATCGTTCTTATTTCCATCGTTATAATGGGCAGAATAGACTGAAATCGCGGACGGATTGTTGTAAATGCGGGATGTCAATGAAAACCAAATTGGCATACTAACTGGTCGTATAGCGATGATGAATAACCGCCGTTTACCGTTTAGTAGTGTATTCATCGTATTATGCTAACTCTTGGGGATTTCAAAAATAAAAAATAATAATAAATAGTTTTCTAAAGAAACACTAGAAAACACGACAACGATGTCATCATCGTATATCGTCCGTGAAAGGATTGTATAATAAACGCGTTTACCCGCAATTATTAAAAACCGACGACGTATTTCAATAATTTGTCAACGTTATATTTTATGGCTCTCTCGGTGCGGTCGGTCATACGATTGCGATGGAGATGCATTATTATAGCCCGATTCTTATAACACGCAGTGTCGATTATTATAATATTTTTGCGGTATTCGTGTCACAAGGTTAAATTATATCACCTCAAAAACCGACGTAAAATTGAAGACGATTTAATATAATATCCGACAAATTTCTATATTTTACCCTTGGGAGTGAGGAACGGTTTAAATTTAAGCTCATCCAACCCCCCACCCCCCCCCCCAAAAAAAAAAAATATCTTACTCGTAAAATAATAATTTACGAGACGTCAAGACATTTTTTTCTCTTCCGACACATTCCGAAATTATTAGTTTTTAATAGGACGTCACCGTGACAGACGGGACAAGTCTTTCCATAACGTACAATACGATTTCAATGTGTTCACGTAGTAAAACAAACGAAAATGTCTTTAATATAAGTTTTAAAATTAAAACTCATATTATGCATTTAAATAACAACATTTTGCAGACAACCATGTCGGTGTTTTACAATTTCCTAAATATTAAAATCGTTAGCGAATATACAACAAATTGCATTTAACATTTTTTTTTTCTTTTTCTCTAGAACTGTGACTCTAAAATAATTACTATTTTTAAAAAAAAACGTAGATAAAGTTATCTTTAAAATGCGTAAAATCTTCTTCACATTTTACAATGGA